AATTTCTTTCCTTCTTGTCATTATTTAATGCCTCCCATTCTTGCTGCTTCAGCTTTCCAATTGTAACACTATCTACTATATTTCTGAACAGCTGTTGGCTTGTATCTTGCCTCATTATGTAGTTGATTAAAATGTTTTTTTTATAATGTACTAAAAGTAGTTTGTTCTCAAGAAGAAAATTTGTCTTTAGAGTTTGCAAAGAGAGGTATATCTTTCACAGGAGGTAATTGCTGGATATCTCCACAGTAAACAAACGTGCCTCCAAATTGCTCATGGTTGTTCCCCTTTGCTTCACTTCATCTGTTGTGAATTTTCAACATTAGTCTTGACTTGATCATAGAATACTCATAGAAAATCGGGCATTGAATATTACTTAATATAAGCTGAAAGTTCTGAAGCAACTCTCCAACTAGTTCTCTAAAAGAAGGAATAAAAATTCTTAGAAAAGTGAATTATTTTCCTATTCATATTGATAGTTGCAGCACCTATAGGAACAAGCAATGGATGCGATCATTCCCTAGGGTTTTGCTTACCAATTTTTACTATGGCCTTAGTGTGCTGTCTCCAGTGCCAGCTTTTCAAATTCTAGTGCAAAATCAGCCTCACTAGTACTTGACTTTTTTCCGTTTGATTTTGCTTCAATAGTTTGTCTTAGCAGATTTTTTTTTTCATTCTAGGCATACTTGTTTTAAAAACAAGGCAAAAACACAATAATTAAACAAACATAATTAGTATTAAACAGTTTATGTTTAGTCCAAGTTGATTCCTTGATAAGAACTTTTTCACTTTAAAACCAAAGTCCAGAGGAAAAAAAAAAATGAAAATGTCACAAAAGAAATTCACTTACAAGAATTTTTGGAGAATGTGGACAAAAAAATAAAAGCACTGAAAAGGCAAAAAAAATAAACCTATTTACACAGATATTTTAATTTTAAATAGCACGCGTATGCATAAAAAAGCACCATCTACTGGTTTAAAAACTAAGCCTTTATTATATTTTATTTAACCACTTGACCAATTTTTACCAAAACCTATACAGCTCATCTCATATATACCAATGAATTATTCTTGAAATTTCATCAATTTTGGTTGTGTAATTCTTTAGTTATTGATCATGCAGCCATGGTGTTTCTGAAATTAAGAAGTCTGAGCATTTAAGCAAAGACTAATGTTTTTTCCTAAAGTAATACTGTATCTACTATAATATCAGATAATGTCAATGTCCCTTTGCTTACATGCCAGAATTATTTATTTACAGAAAGTTTCAACAAAATTTTAAATAATCATTTAAATCTGCTTATTTCAAAATTTCAAGATACTTTGTCTCAACATTGAATAGTTAAGATGGCATGGAGAGGAACATGATGTTAAGCCTAGTCCTTGCTCACATCAGGATAATGACAGCGTATGTGTTTTTTAATGAAGATAAAATAAACCTTCCCATAACAATCTCTTCAGTAAGTAACAATGACACCAATAACATATTGGAAACAGTAGAATTGTTGGCAAGTATTCCATCCGGCCTGGATACGAGAATCTACCATGTGCTATAGTTTCTCCAAGTACAGGGGTAGACTGAAAAGTAATGCACACATGCTTGTAGAACACAAACAAAAACAAATAGAAAGATCGGGCAAAAAGTACATTAAAGTACAATTCTTAAGCTTCAAAATCATATATTTACTTTTCAACATAGTCATCCTTAAGGCTAACACATTTCTCCTAACGTGTAACAAGTTTTTTCATTCCGTCATTGAAAAATTCTTCAGATTTCTCAAATCCAGGACTTGACAGCTGCCTTCACCTCATTGTCCGAGGTGTAATGATTACCCTTGAGGTCTCTCTTGAGTAGAGGAAAAAAATATAAAAATCGCAAGGCGCAAGATCAGGGGAATAAGGAGGGCATGGAATCGGTTCAAACTTCAGGTTTCGCAGAGTCTCTGCAGTTGCGCGCTAGATGTATGGACAAGCATTGTCATGTTGCAAGATTATTGGCGCCAGGCTGCCTCTAACACAACAAACAATCACCTGGTGCCAATAATCTTGCAACATGACAATGCTCGTCCATACACCTAGTGCGCAACTGCAGAGACTCTGCGAAACCTGAAGTTTGAACCGATTCCATGCCCTCCTTATTCCCCTGATCTTGCGCCTTGCGATTTTTATATTTTTTTCCTCTACTCAAGAGAGACCTCAAGGGTAATCATTACACCTCGGACAATGAGGTGAAGGCAGCTGTCAAGTCCTGGATTTGAGAAATCTGAAGAATTTTTCAATGACGGAATGAAAAAACTTGTTACACGTTAGGAGAAATGTGTTAGCCTTAAGGATGACTATGTTGAAAAGTAAATATATGATTTTGAAGCTTAAGAATTGTACTTTAATGTACTTTTTGCCCGATCTTTCTATTTGTTTTTGTTTGTGTTCTACAAGCATGTGTGCATTACTTTTCAGTCTACCCCTGTACTTGGAGAAACTATAGCACATGGTAGATTCTCGTATCCAGGCCGGATGGAATACTTGCCAACAATTCTACTGTTTCCAATATGTTATTGGTGTCATTGTTACTTACTGAAGAGATTGTTATGGGAAGGTTTATTTTATCTTCATTAAAAAACACATACGCTGTCATTATCCTGATGTGAGCAAGGACTAGGCTTAACATCATGTTCCTCTCCATGCCATCTTAACTATTCAATGTTGAGACAAAGTATCTTGAAATTTTGAAATAAGCAGATTTAAATGATTTTTTAAAATTTTGTTGAAACTTTCTGTAAATAAATAATTCTGGCATGTAAGCAAAGGGACATTGACATTATCTGATATTATAGTAGATACAGTATTACTTTAGGAAAAAACATTAGTCTTTGCTTAAATGCTCAGACTTCTTAATTTCAGAAACACCATGGCTGCATGATCAATAACTAAAGAATTACACAACCAAAATTGATGAAATTTCAAGAATAATTCATTGGTATATATGAGATGAGCTGTATAGGTTTTGGTAAAAATTGGTCAAGTGGTTAAATAAAATATAATAAAGGCTTAGTTTTTAAACCAGTAGATGGTGCTTTTTTATGCATACGCGTGCTATTTAAAATTAAAATATCTGTGTAAATAGGTTTATTTTTTTTGCCTTTTCAGTGCTTTTATTTTTTTGTCCACATTCTCCAAAAATTCTTGTAAGTGAATTTCTTTTGTGACATTTTCATTTTTTTTTTTCCTCTGGACTTTGGTTTTAAAGTGAAAAAGTTCTTATCAAGGAATCAACTTGGACTAAACATAAACTGTTTAATACTAATTATGTTTGTTTAATTATTGTGTTTTTGCCTTGTTTTTAAAACAAGTATGCCTAGAATGAAAAAAAAAATCTGCTAAGACAAACTATTGAAGCAAAATCAAACGGAAAAAAGTCAAGTACTAGTGAGGCTGATTTTGCACTAGAATTTGAAAAGCTGGCACTGGAGACAGCACACTAAGGCCATAGTAAAAATTGGTAAGCAAAACCCTAGGGAATGATCGCATCCATTGCTTGTTCCTATAGGTGCTGCAACTATCAATATGAATAGGAAAATAATTCACTTTTCTAAGAATTTTTATTCCTTCTTTTAGAGAACTAGTTGGAGAGTTGCTTCAGAACTTTCTGCTTATATTAAGTAATATTCAATGCCCGATTTTCTATGAGTATTCTATGATCAAGTCAAGACTAATGTTGAAAATTCACAACAGATGAAGTGAAGCAAAGGGGAACAACCATGAGCAATTTGGAGGCACGTTTGTTTACTGTGGAGATATCCAGCAATTACCTCCTGTGAAAGATATACCTCTCTTTGCAAACTCTAAAGACAAATTTTCTTCTTGAGAACAAACTACTTTTAGTACATTATAAAAAAAACATTTTAATCAACTACATAATGAGGCAAGATACAAGCCAACAGCTGTTCAGAAATATAGTAGATAGTGTTACAATTGGAAAGCTGAAGCAGCAAGAATGGGAGGCATTAAATAATGACAAGAAGGAAAGAAATTTTATCTCCATCAGATTGAATAGATAAAAAATTTAAAGATTTTGTAAGATAATTTCCTACAAACAAAATATTTACTTTGTTTAACAAATCGTTCATTGCACAAAGTAATAGACTGGTTGCAAAACCTTTTGGAGAACATAATAGCATTTTTGCAAAAAAAAAAAAAAAGCATCATATAAGAATCTCAAGGCTTAATATCTATTTGTTGTTGCATAATGCTGAGAAAAAGTCTATGGGGTTGATGCTGTCCTAGTAAACAGATTCCTTGAATAGTTGTTGATATTCTATGCAGAGGAGGAAACAGATTTCCTTCATCACTGGCAGTAAGGATAAAATTTAATAACTATATAGGACCAACCATAAGAAATGAAGCATTTCCTATTCTTCCCATGCAACCAAAATTGAAGGATAATGATGTGATTACACAAGAAGACAAATTTTAATCTCAGTTGCATACTCACTGACCATACAAAAAGTTTAAGAACTAACATTGGAAAAGCAGTAATTGATATATGAAAAAAAGAAAAAGTTGCTAGACTATCATACATAGCTCTAAGCAGTGTGTGAAAACTAGAATATATGATATATTCATCTTTCAATATTAATAGAATAAACAAAATTGAAACTATGAAACAAGCACTAGAAAGAGAATATTTTTTGAATAGTGTAATGTATAACCAACAAATAATTTTTTAAATTCATATAGCCTATTTAAATTCAAAATTTTATTATACTTTTAACACATGCTTAGACTTAAATGCCTTGCATTCATCTAGTACTAGTTTTGATGAGGTATTATTAGAATTTGTTTACACATATAAAGACATTATAGAGAATTTTTTATTCTCAAATAGTTGAAATAATAGTTAATTTTAATAAAATAATTGTAAATATAATTTGAATGTTTTAATTAATACATTTATTTTTCTAAATGATTTTTTCACTTATTTGCATTAAATTTTTTCATTGCAGAAAGGGTATTTCTCAGTCAGCTTTACCTTATAGAAGAAGTGTTCCAACAGTGAGTATATTACTACGTATAAAAAATTAATGTTAATCATTTTGCTCTTTGAATTATTTTGCTACTCATATCCTATAAACTGAATCTTTTATGAACATTAAAAAATATATTACAGATTAAATATTGTAGAAACTTTATATATTCTTATATATTTTTAAGTTGATTGATTATATATTGATTTTGTCAAATTTTTAATGTAATGAATTGAAATGTAGAAAAATACATCATTCTGAAATTAACTGAAGTTTATAATAATGAGAAATGATGATAATGAAAAACTAGGAAATGTTTTGAATGCAAAATGTATTAGTTTATAAATTGTTTCACGATAGCTTTGCCTTTGACATTTGAATGATTTTTTAATCGTTTTATAGATCTATCTAGTATGAATTGTTTAACCTAATTTTTGCCTATTTTGTAATTTTTTGAAAAGACAAACTTGATGTCTGTAACAGCAATGTAGTTGTAATGTTTTATGTTTTGAATTAGGCAGTAGAAAGCAAAAATTATAAATATTGATTTGGTGTTTGCTGCATTTGCAATTCATCTCAGCATCCTCAATTTTTGTAATTTTTATTTCTACCTGAAACTATAGTTATATAATCTTTCAATATAAATCTAATTATTATTCTCTTGTTTTAATAAATAATGTTGTCTTATGTTAAATGTAATGAATACTGTCTACAATAGTCAGATGACTGTTTCAAATTTAATTCTGTAACTGATTACAAATGAACAGTTATCAGTATGCCTACTCTATCAACATGTTTTTTACAGAAGTATTTTATTAAGATAAAAGTAGTATTTTACAAAGAACCCATGTAATTAATAAAACTGTAGGGAAATATCATCTTTTAGAGATGAAGGAAGTGTTTTAAATACTCAGACACCTTTCATCTTCTTTTTAAAGGTTATAAAATTGAAATAATATTATTGAGATGTTTGAAAAAATTGTTTTCATCTGGAGGAAATGGGTTTAGTTCTTTGTTAGAGAATAACACAAATGATCACTGAATTAACAGAGAATAGTTTTGTTGGAAAATTTTACCAGTTATTCATTTTGTACAGCAGATAAAATTGAGAAGAATTTTACAATTGTATAGTTATGAAAAATTTGTTTTAATTAAGATGGTCCAAGGAATTTACTGATATAAAAGGCTTTCCTTTGAATTGTGCAGACACCCAGACAAATGTTCTCTGAATACAGAGGGTGTTCGAAAACGTTTGTGCTTTAGAGTTTTATCATTTCACATCAGTTACAGGCTTAAGTAAGTGGAATTTTATCATCTTTTTCCAACTTATTAAGGTGACATTTCAAAAAATGGAATGGCTGATAAAACTGTGGTTGCAGAAACAAGTTCTATGAAAAATAAAAGATATAATCAAAACATTTTACAACATAAATAGAAATTAAAATTGATGAATACAGTTAAAAATGAAAGATATTTAATGGAAACATAATTTAGCTAAGCAATAAAGTTGTTAAAACATAGTTAAGGTGAAGTGTTGAGAAATTTACTGATTTGAAGTATGATAATAGTCTTGAGTGGTTAATGATAAATTGTTAAGAAAATGGTCATTCACTAACTCATGCCTACTGCAATGTTTCATTAATACTGTCTCCCCAATGCAGTAATGAATCAGATTGTAAAGTGGGAACTACTGGTATTATGATAAACACACTAAACAACACAGAAAACAAATAATAAACAAGATTGTGGCAGTTTAATGTAACATACTCTATTCAAAATGTCACTCAACTGATGAAAACAGTCAATGCTTAATAAAATAATCATCCAAACACCATAAAATCTGGGCAAATACAACCCCTGGCAAAAAATATTTGAATTTAAGCTCACAAATATAATCAAACACAACACTTACTGAGCTACTATAGGCCTTCCTCAGGAAATTACTGTTCTACAATTGAACACAAAGCTTTTTGAACATTCTTTAAATATAAAATTTTTTAACATATTTTAAAAATCTTTACATTAAACTGTAAATATCAAATAGTTAACAAATACTAACATATTATATAATTAAACAAAATGTAAAAAAAGATGTTTGATTATATTTGTAAGTAAACAGCTGAGGAGGTGAGGATAGAATTTAAGCTCATTTTACAAGAAAATAAAAATTAATGCTCAAAACAAAAATATGTTTTATTCATTAGGTTATTAAGTGTTTATCTCTAATTTCAAATGAATAAACCAAACCATTTTTCCTCAAAAATTTTTTCATTAAGCAGTATTGGAAAAAGTATTTGAACAATGTTTAAAATTTCCAAATTTGAGCATTCTAATTTGAATGGAAGAAACCATTAGCTGTAAGAGGTATGTTTACATCAATTTCTAAGTAAACAGTGATATTTTACCTGTTTGTTTAAACAATGGTCCATGATCAAAGAATTTATTAATGATGTGAGAAAACAAATTATAAAGCTGCTGCAAGATAGGAAAAACCAAAGAGAAGTTGCAATGTGTGTTGGTGTGTCATTAGGAACTGTAAATTACACTTGGAAAAAGTTTAGACATGAGAAATGTAAAATCGATGCTCAAGATGACCTGTTGGAAAAAAAGTTTAAAAAATCAAAAATGTCTTAAACAATTAAATATGGAATGGAAAAAAAAAATAAAACAAATGTTTATGACAGAACAGTAAGAAATAGACAAGGATGTGGGATTTTCATTTGCAAAACTGTTTCAGACAAGGAACAAAAAAAACAAGTCATTTGAAATGGGCAAGACAGCACAAAAATTAAACCATTGAAGACTGATAAAAGGATATTTTTCATATGAGTCGAGGGTTGGGTGTGGTGGTGATGCAGGAAAATTTGTTTGGAGAATTGCAGATGAGAAATTTAAGGACAACTCCATGAATACGAACAGAGTTTCCAACAAGTTTAATGATTTGGTGCTGCATGTCAGCTATCGGATCTGGAAATATTGAAATGTTTGATTCCAACAATCTTAGATCATTTTGGTGATGTTTTTAAGGGCTGGCCACGTGTCATTGTCATCATGCCAAAAAAAATAAAGAATTTTTGAAATATAAGAGTATTAAAACATTAACCTGACATAAATTTTCAATGGGATTTAAATCTTGGTTATCTGTAGGTGCAAATTTAAAACCCTATTGGAAATTTATGGGCAAAGTTGAAAATGCTGGTTAATGAAAAGACACAAACTAATAAAGATGAACTTAAAGAAGATATTAAAATTAACTGGAGTAAAATAACTTTAGAATCCTTCAAGGAATTAATTTTGTCAATGCCCAAGATGCATAAAAGCTGTAATAAGATAAAGAAAAGGACCAAAATAATAACCTTATTTTCTAATTGCAATCTATAGAGCAGTTAAGGATGGAGTGGGTATTAATTTCAAGGAAACAGAGAGACTGTCTACAGCATGGCATGCCATTTTTGAACTCTTGTAAACTCTCAGATACACTTCACTAGACAGTGTGGATACAAGTTTACATTAATATTTTAAATTAAATATGTTGTATGCCAAAATAATTATTTGGAAATTAATTTATGTCATTATTAATTATTCTTTAATAGTTTTGAATAATATACATATATATTTTGTTTGGGATATAATTTTAAAATATAAATGTACTGTGTTCCATTTACGATGTTAATTTGAATATGTAAAATGCATTTGATTTTTATTTGTAGCCATTTTTGTTCTGTGATATATACGTCATGATGTCTATTTTAAATAGATGAAAACATTAATAAATATTTTCTTTATTTATTAATTACATAGTTGCTGGTATTGGTTTTGGTTTATTTTGTATGTCGCCCTTTTTCCAACTTCCTGTATGTTCGAAAACTTTTCTGATACTGTTTTATGTAAAAATTCTTTTGGGGGGAAAATAGTTTTTTGTTTATTCATTTGAAATTAAAGTGATAAACATTTAACCTAATGAATAAAACATATATTTTTGTTTTTAGCAATTACATTTTTATTTTCTTATATCATGTTTGAATACTTTTTGCCAGTGATTGTATTTTAAATACTACATATTTAAAATAACAATGTTTAATATTATGTACGAGTTGATTTTATTAATTTTCAGTCTAAGAACAAGATAACAAAAAACTTACATTTTATATGACACACACTATATAATTAATTATAATTGTTTAGAATTGTCTCTATCCATTATCATTTCATTTTTGAACATAAATTTACATTTGAAACACTAACAATGTTCATTATGTAAGTGTTAACATAGTATTTTAAAAATATATATATTTTGAAATGTTAGTGATTTGATTATTATTATTTCTTTTAATTTTAATTAGTGGCTGAAATTAACTTCTGATGATGTTAAAGAACAAATTTACAAACTTGCAAAGAAAGGTTTGACTCCTTCTCAGATTGGTAAGTTTTGAAATGTTATGAAATTTATTTTTAAATTTTAAATTCGATTATTAAATTCATTTTTTTTAATTTTTATAATTATCTTTTCATATTCTTATCTAGTGGATAGTTTCATCAACTTTTGTTAAAGTAACATGTATGCACCGTTTTATAATGCCTTGATAAAAAAAATTAAGGTTTAATTAGAAAGTTTTGTTTCACAAACACACTTTAATTCACCTTTTCTTAACAGATATGTTGCTTGATTTTTGATCTTTCAATTTGAACAGATCAGAAGATATCAATCAGCAGTTGGAGAGGCTCTCACTCACCACTTGATTTTGAAAAAACTTTGTTTGACTAATAAAATTGTGTGCGCTTTTGTCAAATCATGAAAGAACGCATATATACTCAATACATCCAAAATTCTATTTATTTAAGATATTTTTCATTTCTAAGATTAAACTATCTAAAACAAAAAGAATCATTTCTAATATAAATTTTTTTTAATACTTTTTAAAATATTTGTTCATAATTTTTTTTAATTTATAATACTTTAAAAAATATTATTTATAATATAAACATCTATAATTGAAGAATTTAATTCACTCTAATAAATTAAAACAAAACATTTTTGAATTTATTTTTAGGTGTAATTCTAAGAGACTCTCATGGAATAGCTCAAGTAAGATGGGTAACTGGTAATAAGATTTTGAGAATTCTAAAAGCAAAAGGATTAGCACCTAGCCTTCCAGAAGATCTCTATCATTTGATCAAGAAAGCAGTAGCTATTCGCAAACATTTGGAAAGAAACAGAAAGGTTTGTTTAATAATGTTTCTTATATTAAACATAGATAAATCTTTTTATTGTATATAGCCATAGGATGCTGTTTTGATTGAGATAGGGGTCAAAACATTAAAAACAGAATTTTATGCAAATTCTATAATTGTGAATGAAATATGAATACTACAAATAACTAATTCTCATATTTAATGCTTATAGCCTTATGACTTTCTCCACTGATGTATGGTAAATTAGATATGACTAGAGATGTAACTGATACCAGTCTGATACTGATATAGCAGCATATTGGGATGTTCCCAATACATCAGGGTTTTTTTTTAATGCATCTTTCACATTGTTTTGTTATAGCAGATATTCAAACAAGGCAATGGATTTACTGTACCATAACCATACCAAATAATATAAACATCCATCAACCTGGTTTTTATTAATGCTGTAATGCCAAACTCAGTTGCCATTCCCTGTTTTTAAAATCCATGTCTTGGGTTTTCAAGCTTCTCTTAGTTTCTAGATTTTTTGATTTGTTTGTAGCAGTTTGAAGAAAGGCAGAAGATTGTTGCTAAATTTTTTAAATGCATTGAATGTGCAGTGATTGAAGAATTATTTTATTTTAAATGTGTGTATGCAGTAGAGACAAAGAAGTCAGTTGACTATAACATTAAGTTATTAATTAGAATTAATAAGGAAGAAACTAAAATAAAGCAAGTTTGGATCTCTTGTTTAAGTGGAAAGATCTCATGGTCTGTAGCTTGCAAGCATATAGGAACCTTGAGTCTTTAATCTGGAACAGTTTGGAGCAATGGGCATTTTCATAGAATGGTTTAAAAAAACTCAAGAATTATAAGTATGGCACAAAACCACTTGCAAGCTGGAATTCAATAAAATAGTGAAACTGTGGAAAAGAAATCTGCTTTTCAAATAATAATTATAATGAAAAAGAAAAAGATGTTTTTTTTAATCTTAGAATTAGTTTGTTTATAGTTAATCATATTATTTTAAAAATCAAAAAAGTTAACAAAACCGCTTATATTCATGCCTGTTTATTTTATATAAAAAATTATCTAAGTGCATTTATTAATTCTATTAATACTGTCGATCAGAAAAAATTATTTGTATGCTTCTCCAGATGATATTGGATCTGAAGGCAAATTATTGATAGAAATTAATGACCCTGTCCCATCAGAGATCAAAGTCCATGTTGTATATCATTTTTTTGTAAAATGCATGTAACAAAAATAAAAGTTGCTGATTTTATTGTATGGACCAAACAAGGAATTTATACTGAGCAAGTAAACTGCAACAAAAAATTTTTTAATATTATATTACCATTTATTGATACATAAGTTATTATACAAAAGTGTTCATTAAAGTATATACTAAACATATACAGTCAAACTTCTATATTACAAATTTTTCATATAATGAATTTTTGCATTGTACACTGCTCTTTCAGTCAAAAATATAAGTAAAATTGCTTCTAAATAACAAAGATAAATTTCTATATAATAAATTTTTTTAATTTGTAAGGACCATCAATCATTAAAAGTTGATTACTCTATCTGGGTTGAGTTTGAATTTAAGTTTAATTTCAGATATCAATCTGTAAATCCATTATAAAACCACAGTCCAGGTGTGAGAAATACTGGTTGTTAACTTTTAAAACTATCATGTAATCTTGCCCATGTGGCTACTGGTTGTAAAGAAGGAAGAGTGTGATTAGGTTCAAATATCATCGTTGACAGATAGTTTCAATACTCGTTATAAGTGTGAAGCATATTACAGAGAGAGAACATTTTTTAATTGTTCTGTGCAACAAAAAATTACAATTTTTTAATGAAAATGTAGTTAAACTAAGTTGTATTTTAACACACAAATGTAAACTTACTTAAAATTAAAATTAAATTTATATTGTATTATTACTGTATATTATGTTTATATTAATTTAAATTACATAAAATAATGAAACAATTGCATTAAAATAATATTTTATTTACTAAAGTGTAATTTCTGTAATTTTCACTTACAGAGACAACTTTTTATTTGAGGCTGTGCCTCCACAATAAAATACAAAATAGATAAAAATGTTCTCTAGTGTTTATGCAAATATAATAATTCACAAAACTGTTGGCCAAAATTTAATTTTAATGAACAGTATTGTGAATTATGGTATTGTCATGATCGCCAGAGTACATTCTATCCATTTTGCATTTTATTGAGCAGCAGCAGCCTCACATAAAAGGTGATCTCCATAAGTGAAAATTGTCTTTTGGATTGTCACTGGTGCTTGTAACAATGGAAAATAAAGACAATTTTGTAGCTTTGATTTATTTATCTATATATTTTAACGTTATTAAAAACTAAAGCTATATTTTAGCAATTTTAAAAACTAAAACATACCTGTATTTGTTGTAATGTAGCTATCCTCTGTGAAGTTCCTACTATATACTTTCATCTGGACTGATTTTCTTTCCTGTTTTAATCTTGATAATCAGATATTTTTTAGCTTTTATTTCATGGAAATTTATGAAAGCTTAATCTTTTATTTATTTTATTTTTGTTGTATTACAAACAGATACAAAGGAATTGTAAGGCACCTTCTGTACTAGAAAACAGATAGTGGAATAGTAAACAATACCAAACTATGAGAAAGGTTTAATCTAGTGACAGTTATTAGAAAACTCAAGTAACACCACCTGTTACTTGATGATTTAAAATTGCATAAACCAAAAAAACGATTTTTCTGGAATCAAAGATCAGAGATCTGAATGTTGAAAGTTTTAGCATCTGTATGATAAGCAGTTGTAAATATTCTAAATTATTTCAGTAACATTAATTAATGTTTATAACTTTTATTGCAGAGTATTTGTAGATTAATTCTGAGATGCAACTGTGAAAGATATTAGTGTTGCTTTTTGTTGAAGTCTGTCAAGTGCAGACGGTTAAACTAATTGAAAAATAAATAAATTAGCAGGATTAGGAAGAGTATGTAGTACAGTATAGATAAAAAGAGATCTATCTTTAAAATATCAGTAGTGAAAATGATCTAAATGAAAGCATCACTGAATAAATTATGATTTTTCTTAATTCAGAATAACCATGAACTAACTTTTTAAACAAGTCTATACATTTGATTTATAACAACTTTGACCTGATACTGAAACAATTTGTCTTGTTGAAAGTTTTATCATAATTAAAAAAAAACATTCCTTAACTTATTAGTGATTGTACTTGTTTAATTACTTTTCCAGTTGTTATATAACAAAGGGAAAGTATAGCAATCAGTCAAAAACTTACCACCTCACCAAGATTTTTACACTTTTTGACCCGGGACGTTGAAGCATCAAGAATTGCAAAAAAAATTGGGGGCTTTTTTGGTGGGTAACAATTTTGTTTACCTATTTTGAAGCTTAATGACTCATGCCTTTTGTGAAAAATTTCTGAAATTTTGCAGGGAGATTTATGTATAGTAGAGCGTTGTTTATCCGAATCAATTGGGGACTGGGGTTGTTCGGATAATCGATTATGTACAAAAAAATATATTAACCTATCCTGTGTTGAAATTTTTCTCCATCGCGTGTTGCTTCATTTTCGTCGATGTTAAGCCTAACGTAAACTTTTTAAAATAATAATCGTGGCTATTGTATCGTTAAAAATTATTTCTTTATTTTGTACAAACAAAATAAATATATTGAAAAATATAAAAACAATAAAAAATTATACTTAAGAAATTAATTTAGTATCAAAAACGTAAAATATTTGAGTAGCCCAAGACATAGCCAAAGATTGCAGTGCCACAGCACTGGCGAAAATTTAAATTTGGCGACTGGAATTCTTTCGGATAAATGACGCTCTACTGTATTAGGGAAATTGATACTATTAAATTTTGGTGGTTAAAGGATCGGGGTAGAGAGATACCTATCATATCTCAAGTAGGGGACAGACTTAATGAAGATTTTACTTGTTATTAACATTTACAGCTTTTTACAAAAACTTTTCTCTACCCACAAAATTAAACTTTTTATCATTTTATAATAATTAATAAAATCTCATAACAGATGGTGCCACACAATTAAAATTGTTTGTGCTGGGAAAGTTATGCAACTTGTTGCTGGATTTTTTTACTGTGGAATTGATACAAGAGGAAACTAGAACTAACATTTTACTTTCACATGTGCAAAATATGAATAAAACCATATTTTACTGGTTTTAATTTTGGAATCTTATTTTTTTGAAATTTTCTATTAATAATATATAAAATATAGTCTGTTTCTGATTAATGAATTATAGTAAATTATTTGTACTTTTTCTTTGCTATTCAGATAGTTCTTAATTGATTCTGCGGAAATGTTTACATTCTTTTGTTGTTTTTTGTGACCTAATGAAACTGTTCACCAACATGTAAAAGGTGGGAGTAACAGTGGCAAATGTAATAGCTAAAGTTTTTCTGAAGAGTCTTTAGACCATGTTTAAAGATTGACAATTTTCACCTTTACAACAAAGTTTAAACTGTGATATAGTGAGCCTGTGACTAGATGTTATTTTTGCTCTAAACCTGATCTAGTTAAGTCTTTCTCTGCAGTTCTTTATTGGGTTTGCAACTATTTATTAAACAGAGGAATTCTTGATATGCTTAGAAGTTTTGTAGTTAGTTATTTTTTTTAATGTTTAAAATATTGTTTTAAATAAATTTTCCAAGAACTGTATTCTAATTCAATTGTATGAATTACCTTTTCAACAATTGATGATTGAATTAAAACTATCTATAGAATTTTTACTTTTCATAGATTTTAGGTGGTCAGTTTTTTTCTAATTATTTAGATAAACTTTTTGTTTACAAAATGTTAGTGTTTAAAATTAATCTCATTTTAAACAGGACAAAGATTCAAAATTTCGTCTGATTTTGGTAGAAAGCAGGATCCATCGTCTTGCACGCTATTATAAAACTAAGAGAGTTTTGCCACCTACTTGGAAATAGTATGTATAAATTTATTTTATGATTTTAAAATAAGTATTATTTTATATAACTTACAAAATTACATAATTTGAAATACTGTTGTAAGAACCTATTTTTCAAATACAGTAGAGCGTCGATTATCTGACCTTCGATCAACCGTCACTTCGGTTAACCAATCGCATTCTACTTGGCAAATTCAAATTTCTGCTAGTGATGTGGTGCTACAATATTTGGCTGTCTTGGCTACTTTAATATTATTTTTACGTGTTTTAGCCAGTATTTAAACGAGGCTTAATTTTCTAATTTTTAACGATACAATAGCGACGATTATTATTTTAAAAAATTTTTTGTTACGCTTAACTAATCACCAAACATATGCCGTAAATCCATCGGGCATCCTAAACTAGCCCGATGGATTTACGGCATATGTTTGGTGATTAGCTATATTACATCGGGTTTAGCGATGTTTATATATGTTACGCTTAACATCGATGAAAATTCAGCGCGAAGTAGGTTAATAGCGATATACTAATTACATGGGCTATACTAATAATGTATTTTTTCATATTTTTCGATTATCCATTTTTTCAGTTATCCTCCCAGTCCCCAATTGAGTCAGATAGTCAATGCTCTACTGTATATGCTTCATGTCAAATGTCAAATCCTATTTTTAAACTATTTTAAGATAAGAATTAAGTAAAATATCTTAGTTGATTATTTTTTCTGTTGTTTTATGATAAAAACAGTAACATATATTTGTGTGTTTAAAAAATATTAAGTTTGGTTTTTTAAATGAGATGTTGTTAAAGTAATGGTTTTGTAACATGATGTTATAAAGCCATTGTTCACATATCTGTACTTCAATGTTGTTTTTCTCTTAATGGGTAGGGAATTGTGATAAACTTTGCATAAAGTAGTACTTTTGAGCATTGTATGGAAAATCTCCACTGTTGTGTTGAAGGTTGTGTTTTTTATACCTACTATTGATTTACTAGTTACTACACAAAATAGTTATTGAGAGATTCCTATGTTGGGTCCTATGCTATTGAATTTGTTCTTATTTGAGGTCATTAAAATATTGTGACTCAGACATACAGTTTGATTTTTAAGGTTTTTGAAAGGTTGTTTTTTGTTTTGTTTGGCTGTAAATAAAAATGTTTTGTTGCAAATAATAAAAACACATGTTACATTGGAAAGCAAGTAAAGAAGTTTTTATAACTGCCAATTTCTTTAAATAATGGTTTTTAACTTTTCAGGGTCAGTTGTAGAAAAATCTAGATTTCAAAGTTTTATTAATGTTGAATAGCATGTGATGTTATCAAAGCACTAGTGTGACCGAAGGGTCGGCACCTCTTTGGTGCCCTGTCAGGATGATACCACCGCGTCTCGACGGACACGGAAGCCGCGTTATTTAGGTCACGCGAGCGATCAGAGTTGAGATAGAAGGAGAGACAACGCACCAGAAGTGATTTACTCAGCTGCTTTTTAACGTAACAACGGTTTAATGGGTAATGATAGGGAATACATATCTTATAGTACGTTGATAGTAAAGTTCGAAAGTAAAGTTAACTGAGCGTTCTCGAGAGATAGAGTTTACAATTCATACGTGTGGTGATAAATACCGTTTTTTTTTTTTAAATCTTGATCTGGATCCCAGTCGGTAAGACAGAAAGTTCGGAAAGTCCAATAATCCAATAGTTCTTTTTCTTTGATATTAGGTGATTCTTGATATTAGGCGATTCTTGATATTAGACGATTCTTGATATTAGGCGATTCTTGATATTAGACGATTTTTGGATATTTGTCACAAGCGAAGAGGTATGTATCCCAAGGAGCACAGATTTTTCGTAGAAGTAATCCAATGGAAGAACTGGCGACGACTGACTCACTTTGTTGTTCTTGTGTAATGTTGAATTGTTAAAATCGCGATACTAGGTTGAAAGGTGATGAGAAAGTGTCTTTATTAGGCCTGAGAACTTAACAGATGTTTAACTCCCAGGTGTAACCGTTGACAGTTATTGAACGAAAGTATAGCTGCACTCTGATCTTATGACACCGTGGAATGAAAGTAGGACTACGATGTGATCTTATGATGAGATGATATAAACACATCCGAATTCGGATCCTCGCATTAGTAATGTTTAAGTAATGCTTTGATAACATCACATGCTATTCAACATTAATAAAACTTTGAAATCTAGATTTTTCTACAACTGAACCTGAAAAGTTAAAAACCATTATTTAAAGAAATTGGCAGTTATAAAAACTTCTTTACTTGCTTTCCAATGTAACATGTGTTTTTATTATTTGCAACAAAACATTTTTATTTACAGCCAAACAAAACAAAAAACAACCTTTCAAAAACCTTAAAAATCAAACTGTATGACAGTGTGTCAAACTGTTGAGATTTATATTCTCAAAAAAACTATGTAATATGCATCAAATTATAGAGAAACCTGTATCACTTAATAAAACTTCAACTGAATATACATAAAAGTGTTAAGTAATTAAGATGTTTACAATTTTTACACATTCTTCAGGATTTTATATTGTTTATAATTTGTAAATAAATAGACTGTTATATTTTATACTGAATTGCTGCGACTCTAACACACTAATTTTTTAAATTCTGTTCAGTAAACTTCTAGGATAGGATTTGTCAATAATCTCATGTAGATAGAAAAAGGCCTCTCCAAATCCATACTTTCTTTGACACAGAACTATAATGCAGCATATAGTTTATTGAAATGTCCATGTTGATATTCACATTTTTTCCTGCAAGAATGGCAAAAATTGTTCTTAAAATTTTGTGGGTAGAATTTTTCTCAAGAAGGCTTACAAAATGTTTAGTAGCTTTAACTCCTGAAGGACCTGCAGCTTGTAACATATTTCCTTTTGCTAACTCAGCAATGTATAATTATTTCTGAAGTGACAATTTCTTTTCTTATAAACTTTATGGATTTTGCCAAAAATGTAAAATTTGCAAGATAGATTGTCATTGGCAGCTTGCCTGAAGAAAATCCTCTCTTTACAACATCAATATACACTGCATGCTCATCTGGAAATGAATTCACTACTTGTTTCATTTCAGTCCAGTGCATGACATAAAAGTGAACTGCATTAAGCTACATACCCCATTAAGTTAGCATTGGTTCCAGGGACAAGAAAATTCTCTTAACTGTTCCTTTATACTGTTGTATTTTGATTGGAGCCTTAAAAATTTTTACTGTCATAAGCAGTGACACTTTATAATGCTAGATTTTCCTGGCCACAGAATACCTAAAACTTCACTCACAAATCCAGCTACACTTTCATGATTTGTTTTTTCAAATGTCTGATACAATTGGGTGACTTTTGAATGTCTCCTTGCCCCTTATGCTTCTAACTTTTTGCATTAGTGACATACTGTCCAATAGCATCAGTTCCAAATATCACTAACTCCAGTAGTTCTTCAGTGCACTTGATGATAATGTACAGTACAAGTATTCTGAGAAAACATGCACTGTCTTTTGGTGTTACAATATTTAATAAATTAACAAGAAATGCATCATGTATCGTTGTCAGGCATACAAAAGTTCCATTTGATAACAGAAATGAAATACATTCAATTTTTTTTTAAATAATGGATGAAAAATGTTAGCTACAGTTTCTAAACTTCTGCTATAACTTTTTTAGCAAAATTAGCTATAATGCTACAGAAAATTTTCTCAGCTTAAACCCAGGAACTGGGTTTTTAATTTATGCAGTGAATTGTTTTCAGTTAGGGAAAAATGCAGGTTTTCATCCTGGAAATCTCGGAGAAATTGGAAATTGTTGAACACCCCAAGAACTTCTGATGCTTTGCTCTGTTTTGGAGGAATATCCTTTATATACCTAATTTCTCATGCACTGCATATCTATCCTTGTCATTGCACAGAAATCTACTCAGTGATGCTAATGGTATGATGGCATATCTACTATATAAAAGCAAAAAAACTGGGCATATCATGGTATGCCAAAAACAGCCACTAAGGGTGCCCCTAGCTATTATTTAAATTAACGATAAATTTAATATTATTATTTGATGCAGTTTTTTGCATTTTTGGCTGCGTTTTAGTAGGGTATACCATGAGAAATTCAGTATATTATTATTTTTATTTATAATAGGAATTTATTATTTATACTATGGAATGACACCACTGCTGCTAGAACGCCCACTAGGGGGCATCCCGGGCTACTAGAATAGAAGGATTAGAAGTGCAAAATAATCTTAATCTTTTGTTGTTGTTTTTTGCCCTGGCAACGCCGGGCTCATCTGCTGGTCAATACATAAAAGTGTAAGGTTTCATTATCATTAAAAATTTGATGTGTTTATTATGGGCTCTGAAATGGATTTTTTGTTTTTTTTTTTTTTTTTTTATTACCCATTGAAGACTGATGCATTGTCAAAAGTACTTGTTTTCTTGTTAATTTATTAAATATTGTAATGTCAAAAAATAATTTTTTTTTCTCAGAATACATTATCTCCAATTTTCTGATAAAATTTTTTTTTATAGTTTTTGTAGCATGTTTCCAAGTATTTTTTCCTTAGAGTTAGACTTTGCTAGCAACATTATGATTGCACTAGTACTAAAGGAATTCTCTGAATGCTTTATTATTCTACAGAATTAATCTTTTATGGTATTCTGTTGACATGCTACTGTACTAGAAAGCTTTCAGAGCAACCTACCGACTTCTGACAAGTCTGGCAAATTATAGTTTTATCATCAATAAAAGAGGTAGAACTGTCTTTTCCTACTGTGAAGTAATAATAATAATAATAACTCTCCCGTGGTCACCACCTGGTCGTGGTGGGAGAGCCCAGTAAGGTCTATGGGGAGAAATGAAGTTAAGAGTGACCATACCCATATTCTGTGGAGATAATTATTATCGTAGTAACCAGATCAAAGTGTGATACCGGCTTGGACGTCAGCTGGGTTAACAAGGTCCGCGTTTGTGGGTTAGGCAGAGGCACACGTTCGAAAAATAGCCACAGTCTCCC